TATATATATATATATATATATATATATATATATATATATATATATATATATATATATATATATATATATATATATATATATATATATATATAAAAGCTTATTGTTTGCCTTACGCAAGTTTTATTTACATTAATATAACTACAGAAGACTGAGTTATAGTTTACAAAAGAAATCAGTTGCCCATGCCTTTATTTAAGCGGCGATGAGGGAGCCGTTTTCTCGCTATTGAAGCCAACATGCCTTGGTAATCTGATATAGATAGATAGATAGATATTTATTTGCCAACAAAACGATATACTGTATATATAAGAGGTGATCCTTACTGGACGTTCAGTAAGAACAGTTTAGAACTGATAGAAAACGTCGGATTGATAGGATTCAAGTAAAACGTCCTGGTTTCGGGCGACGGCCCTTCGTCGGGAAAGGTTCTTAATTCATCGGGAAGGTTCCTCGCTCGAAACGTCGAAGTTTTACTTGTATTTACTAGAACTGATAGAACTATCCAGTACAACAAAGTTAGTTGAGGTCTAGCAACATTGGATCAATAATGGATAATTACTACTAGCTGTCAGATTAATTTTAGATTAGATATTTTTCATGCGAAGAAAGGTAAAATTACTATGAAATAAACAAATTTTAAACTTCACCATTTCTTAAAGTGCCCCTGTCACAAAATGAGAGTTTACATCATTAGAATCGTCTTCAACCGTAGATTATGAAAATACAAAACAGATTTAAAATTGAGCTTGTTTTCACAGAGTAATAAGGCAATGAAATTTGAAAATTTCAAATTTTAACGGCAAAAGTTTTTGAAAACCGCGAAGCTGGGAAATTGGTAACTAATACGTCATAGTAGGAAGACATTGCCTTCTCGCCTAAGTGAAAAGTATATAAATACTAAGTGAGAATCACAATCAAGCTGGTCAAAATTCGATACAAATGTCTTTACGAAAAATAACAGTTACCAAAGCGATGACTGCCTGAAATTATATTCCTGGGCCGTATCAAATCGAGTGAAATCGATGAAAACACCAGTGAAGCGTGGTCAACGTCGTGCACACAAATGATCGGCGCTGCTTGATCCATATGTTAATAAACCATGCAGTGACCGACGAAGATGGCTCAAAAGTTACCGCGAAAAAAAGCAATCACAACGAACGTCTTAAGCAATTACAACAAAGGCTTGATAGTTCAGAAGAATTGAGTAAATGGTAAATATTTCACTCTGATTTTGTTGCGTAACTTGACCTTGTGTTGTATTCAAATTACAAACTATAATATATCATGTGTAAACGTGGCAATTGTTGCATTGAACTGCTTCGTAAATTATGCTAAAGAGTGTCAATGTTGTATGGAAATTGAGGAGTGCATCGATTCTCTACACAGTGACATTGTGATTTGTGATGCAAGAAGCTGAAGTCGCGCCATCATGTATAATTCAAGAGCTATGGCTAGATAAGCGAGCCCTCAGTTCAGCAGCCACGAAATTACGAACAAGAAAGAAACAGGAATACCGTCGAACAAGCATAGAAGATAGGTAAATAAAGGTTTATTTATCAACATATTGAAATTAAGAAACACTTTACCGTACCAGAGTTTACTATCAGTGAACACACGCATGCGGTACCGTAACTGAGAGTTTATATACGGTACATACTGTACAATTATATATATTTACATGTGTTCACATGCAAGTAAGCGACTTATTATAAAGACTTATTTATTAATTTATAGATTCTGAAGGAGCACAGCATATAGAAACTTTGTGTGGATGGTTTATGGACAACTAGGAAATAGACATTTTTGCGCATATGAGAAAATAATGCCTGCTGTTGATGAAGACTTTGCAGGCAGTAGAGGACAGCTCTTGATATTATATAACTATTTTTCAATAAATAAACCTATTACACTGTATAAGCGTAGTAATATTATACTGTATTGCGTATAGAAACAGCACATTTGCTACATTCATGACTTCAATATTGTTTTGTTAAAGAGACTGAAATTTGAGATTAAGATTTGTATCTGATGTTTTCCTGCACTTCGTGCGCGCGGGTTAATTTGTACAAAGTGTTGCAGCACGTTTAGGAATTTTTCTGACTTGTATTTCGTTGGTTCCAGGCACTGCCTTATACTATAGCAAATGTGGCAATGATTAAGTTATTTCATTAAGTTGCTTCAATGGATTATACTTTGTAATACATTTTATATACACCCCCGCAGTGTCTGTATCTGGTTTCAAGCTACAATTTGTTTGTATAATTTACTTATACGCACAATTCTACTTTCCCTGTCTAAACTAAAATACAAACAGTGCACATTGCTTGTAGACGTAAGAAATTGGCTTTCATCAGCTATATTTTGACCATATTCACTCATAGTCATAGCTATATTGTCGCGATATTTTATATTTCTGGTGAATCCATTGGCTGTGGCTCATTTATATTTATCGCGCTTTCCAGTTTCGTGACTATGACCATATCGCTTGACTGCATCGAAGCAGCTTCTAAATACAACCTATTCAAATAACGAATTTGGAATAAAAATTGCACCAGGCTATATTCAAGTGCATGATAAACGAAATTAGAGTATAAATTAATATACATATACCATTCTCTTGGCTCTCGCAGACAATTTGAGACAAAGGTTTGTCGTCGACAGTATTTGTATATTTTGGAATTGCAACGAAACCAATTTCGTCGGTAGCTAACCGTGGTTTTACCAGCAAACTCTATCTTTGCAAAGTATGCTTGTATTGGATCTCATATTGCTGGTTTAACCGTCTAAGGTGCACGAAGTCATTCCGTCTCCTTTTCGCTTCGTGCATCTCCCCTCCAGTAAAAGGTATAAAATGAAGTGAAATGCCTTACTCTGTATCTGTGACATTAGAACAACCGCCTACTACCCATATATTCGGCAATTTTTCAGTTTTGTGACTTTTATTTGCGCTATTGCCTCCTCTATGATAGTACATGCAATAGTATTTCTATATTAGTGAGCTACGTAAGTTCCTACTATTACGTCACACGCATTGTTTCGTCCCAGTCTCCTTTGCGCGGTTTTCAGATTTTTCACAAGGCCAAATTCAATGTTTAAACGGCAATAACTTTTACACTAAAAAAGCAATTTCGATTCCGTTTTCGAATTTCCGTATATTTTGTATCATAGATTTCGAAAATATAAACTCTCATTTTGTGACAGGGACACTTTAAGAGAGCTTGATTGGCAAACATTAGAAATTAAAGCGAAGGAAGTGTAAAAAAGCCATATTTATGTATAAAATCAAACACACCAATGAACCTCCGCAATGTATGGCCAACCTTTTTAATGTGAAAAATAACACTAGGTATAACCTTCGTAGAAACAATATCGATTTCTCACTGGAAATGCCAAGAACTAATATGATGAAAAGAGGTATAAGTTATTCAGCTGCAAGCTTATGGAATCGATTGCCTGGGTTTGCGAAGTTGAGTAATGTTCCACTACATAGATTTAAAGCTATTCTCCGGGACAGTTTAACTTAACTTGATTATATGAATTGTAAATAGTTGGAAAGTGTATAATTTTAATAATTTGAGTATTTAGTATAGTTTGTTTTAGTTAAATAGTATATAAGTATAAGTGTGTAAATAGGTGTGTAAACGGCCCCTTGAAAGCAACTCCCTACGTGGGTCGAAGGGTTACCGTTTTTAAAGATGATTAAATAATAATAATAATTAATAATAAGCCCTGACCACGACCGTGCCACGCCCGTGCCACGCCCATGCCACACCCATTTCCGTTGAGGGCTTAACTCGAAGTACATAACTGGAGTTAGGTACTTCGAGTTAAGCCCTCTAGAAAATTATAATTACTGATGTAGTTATAATTGTGAATTTTTATGCACAAGTTACTCTAACGTCGAACAGCTAACAATTGACTTCAAATTACGATTTGAAGTTTGCCGTTTGAAATTGAGGTTAGCAGTTTGCCGTAAACGTCAATCTTAAAGTCCCTAATGTATATAATACGTCGGCTGAAATAAAATGCATTGTAACTCGTTTACATCTTTCAAACGTTGGGGCTTAACTCGAAGAACAAAATGTTTGACTTTGTTCGAGTTAAGTCTAGAGGGCTTAACTCGAAGTACCTAACTCCAGTTATGTACTTCGAGTTAAGCCCTCAACGGAAATGGGTGTGGCATGGGCGTGACATAGGCGTGGTTGGGGCTTAACTCGAAAGGGCGTGGTTGGGGCTTAACTCGAGGGGCTTAACTCGAAGATTTGCTACCCTCTAATAGACACCCATTAACAATTCCACAAATGTTCGAATCTGTAAAAGACCAGGACTGTGTGTTAAAGAAAAGAAACCAAACGATGCACAGAGTACGATAGATTTAGTATTGGCTCCCCTTGGAAAAGTTCTAACCAGTATAAGCATGTGCATTATATTTTCATTTCTTGTAATGGAAATTTCATATCTTGCTATGTTTTGGATGTTTTGGATTCGTTTGTGCTAAATGAGAATTGTTATGGGTTATTTAAATTAAACTCACCAAAACACAATAAACTGATAGCACCTAAATGCTTAAAATTGCACTTTACAGTTTACCTGTAGAATTTAAAGATTTCGCTGGAGGAGCACCTCCTGCGGCCCCTAAACGTTTATTTTCCCAATTTTCACATAATCAACAAACTACTCATCATAGGATGTTCGTTTAAGCTATAATGATAGATTTTGTCCTTCTTGTCTGGATAAAAATTTAGTCTCTAGCTGGAATCATGCATTTATTGTTGATTAGTGCCATGATACCAAAGCAAGAGTGTGGTTCTTGCGTTTTATTTATAATGATCATTGAATGTAAGAAGTCACTTTAGATTTTAGAACCCGGTAAGACTTTCTACTTGTACGGTTTATTACAAACGTTCATCTTGCGTCAACTGCATCATTGCGCGGTTGTTTTCGCGCATTGTACAATTTAATGAATATGCACAAATGTTTTACTTGCATCCCAGTATGGATCATTTGCGTAGCTTTTCGTTCAATTGTTTCAGAAACCTGCTGAAAGGGACATTATTTACAAAAACTGACGGATTATTTGCCCTAAATTGTTCAGGGTTGAAACTGTCGTTTTCTATTGTGTACTTCCGTCTTCCAGAAATGAAAATTTCACTATCGTGTTTTGAGTCCTTCATCACCCTATGCAATTGATTGTAGATGCCAGCTGAATGAAACGAAATAAGAAAATGGGTTAGAATTAGAGTTTGAAGACAAGTTGGGATTAAAACACATAGGTGCATGATTCCCAAAGTAGTTCTGGAGAAGTAATATAGGGATTAATATAAGTACGTTTTAGAAAATATTTTAAAGGGGAAGTCAAGTCCGTAATGTAAACAAACGGTTTGTTTGCATTTTGAACTGCTGTATTTTTTAAAATATGATGTACTGTCTGAATATCTAACACCATTTTGGTTCGTTATGCTTCTACATGAATATGAAATAGAGTTTGTGTTCAGAAAAATTCGAAACATTCAAAATTTGGGCAATGTTTACCTCAGAGGGCCCTCTATTGTTATGCGCAGAACCGATGCGCAGAACGGACTTGACTTCCCCTTTAACAGTTTTATAATATATTTTGGAGTTCTGGAGTTCAATAATATTTTTTAAATTTACAAAATTGTTTTCCCAGGGGTATTTTACGTTTTGGGACTTGGGTGGGAGCTCCACCCCCCAAATTCCAGGGCTTTTTTTATTTGGGAGAGGGAGGGAATTCCCCCTCCTATGGTCACAAACCCAGATGCATGTCATTTCCCACGCTCACCTATTTCCAAGTGAAGGGATAGAAATGATGTCTGGGTTCACCAACTGCACCTCCATGTGATTCCATTTTTATACTCAAGGTTATATGCTTTAATTACCACTTACTAGTTTAATATTGATAATGATATTCATATTCCATTTTGGGGGCAAATGCATCCCCCCCCCCTCCCCATTTATATTTTAACGTATAGTTTTCGAAGTATAGCTATAAACATGTTAGAAACAAAGTATTTTCCAGGGCCACGTTCCCATAATCATGCATCTATATTTACAAATCGCCGGAATACCAAATCGAAATACCGCATGCGCATGTGCATCAACCCAGCACTACAACCAGTATACACCTTGTATACACCGAAGCTTCATTGTTACGTTTATGGCATTGTTCACAGCGTTAGGAAATCTTCGGCCTCATGAATTAAGATTTATATAAGCTTTGATCCCCCACTGGATCCGCCACTAGAATGTCTGATAGTATTCATGATCATTTTCCTTATTGCGGGGGTTCACCCGGGTCCCCAGCTGAAAAGGGCCTTAAAATGTCTTGATACAAACTTGCTTATTAAATCCTGGCTGCGTAAAACACCGCTTCCCCTGTTGTAAAATTATGTATAAAAAGTTAGTTAATTAAATTTGGTTGCGTTCAGCCATAAGTTTAGTTTAATTTGTGTCAGATTCGGGATGTTATAAAACGTACACTGATTACACTCAATTCGCCATATGACACACCACCTTCCCGTGTACACATTACTTCAGAGTTTAGTTTAGGATTTTCAACGGATTTGGTTTTGCAAGCATAGCGCTATTTCGTGAAATAGTACGATTATATCTTACCTATATCTGTGCACACAACATCAGAGCCATTTTTACCGATCTTTCTGTAACCATCATGACATGCGCACTTGTAAGATGAAGGCAAGTTAACACATTTCTGTCTACATCCGCCGTTATTGATCAAACATTCATTAATATCGAAACAAGCATAGTTAACAAGTAAGCTGATTGTCGCCTAACCGGTAGCCATTCGGACAGGAACAGTTGAATGAACCAATAGAATTGCTACATTGATACGAACAATTGCCTTTGCCATCATTACCAGAACATTCATTTATGTCTTCGCAGTTTATTGATCTACATGGTGAATCAAAAGTGTAAACGGTTTATAATCATTAGTTCAACGGTTTATATACAGTAGATTAGATTAGTAAAATCTCTTTCGACCTGAATGGACACTGCAATGGGAATCGAATATCTCAAATAGTGAAAGGGACTTGCTTCTTTGGTTGCGCGCCACTTCGTCTCTAAAGAAGTATCTAAAACGTTATATTTAATAATGAACGCGTTATCTTTTGAAATTATTTAAAATATAGTCTAAAATTGGCTTAAGATTACAGAGGGAACGCCATGTAATGGTATTATACTGTATCATTCAGAACCATAGGTTGTTTATATTAGTGTTTAAGCAGGGGCGGATCTAGGGGTAGTCAGATTAGTCACGCGACTAACGTAAAAAAAAGGCATATAAAAAAATTTGGACTAAGGTTTTTGAATTTTTTCCCAGCGCAAACGCTTCTGTTCATTTCTGATCATGCAATCAAAACTACATCACACTCCAGCATATAAACTTCAATCAGTTTTTGCACATTGAGCCAGCGATTGATTAGTCAAACGATAAGTCAAATAAGCGGTATTGAAATGAAAATTGACTATTCTGCATTTTAGTTCATGTGATTTGATTGGTCAAATTCGCTCAGATTACACATTACAGGCATGTTGATTGGTCAGACCTATTTTGACTAACGATTGCGCAATTTTGACTATTTTGACTAATCCTGCAAATAGATAGCAGCTTCTGATTGGACAATTTGCGCAAAAGAGTTAAAGAACATCTCCTCTGATTGGCCTTCTAATCTTCAATTTGGAAGCATTGTGCACTTGGTAGCTCTGTTGCAGCTCTGTACAATTTTACAAGCGAATTATTTCGCTTAATCTTAGTATATTTGTTGAACTATTTTCGAAATAAAGATTTCGAAAGGGTTATATCGTTATTTGTTACGATAAGGGATGCTCTCTGGTGTTCTGTGGAGAATATTTCAAGCTGATAATTCATAAATTCGATGGATGCAAGAAAATTGTCTTGGCCGAAACTATGATGTGTTGATTTCTCGTCGTCTAACATATTTTCAAGAGATTACTAAGAGGTGTATGGCAATAAGGTAAAGTGGTTTGAATTTTGAACAATAAATCGTTGAATTGAACGTACGATTTGCATAATTGTGCGAGGTTATAGACTTATAGGTCCAAAGTTTCATATACTGCATACATATTCATTTTATATATGTGTATAAAATTAAAACACCTCAAGTGGCAGAAACTTGATCTCAAATATTTGATCATGTTGGATAAAAAATATTTATTGTGTACATGCTTTATAGAGTATTGATTGACTGATAATAGCTCTACAAATGTACTTTATGAAGATAATAATAATAATAATAATATAATCTTTGGTTATATTTTTAGATCTAATGCAACTGGCAATTGCCTGTATAGCACTGTTTCCTAAGCATTGACAGGTACCAATGACCTATAAATTTGACCTTGATAGTTTAAATGTTTACAGTGCAAGTGTGAAAGGTCTATACAGTAGGTCACTTTTTATACAGTATAAGCAAAGAAGCACTATGGTTGAAGACTAATTAAATTAAATGACTTGGCTTGGTCATGATGCAAATTCACCAGGATATTATTCCTAACATACTGTAGGAAACTTTATTAATAAATTTTCTGGAACATGAGTTTAAAGTTAAATAACTCTCACCTCCAATAACAATAACCTCACTCTTGCACACAACACTGACATGAGAAAAAACTTCCTGGGGCATGAGAAAAAACTTCCTTCATCATCAACCAAACTTAGCCTTTCAAGATCACCACCTTAATTCCCATAATCTCCCCCCTCCCCAAACATTCGGGCTTTGTAGACAAAAGCTGATGCCAAATATCGGTCTGATCTCATTGGCTTGAGATGGGTTCATTGCATCTTGAACCAGTTAAATTTTTCAACAGACCAGGGCTTGAAATAACAACTGATTACCAATCAATAATCAGCAAGAAATTGCTTATGATCAGCGGAAAAGCAGGGTTTTCAACCTGAAAAGCAGGGAAAGTCATGACTGCCAATCACCATGATCAATCACCATGATCGGAAATTTTGGGAATGTTATTTCAGGCCCTGATAGACAAACACCATGTTGATAGTATGTGTCTATATACAGTATGTAAGCATAGTGTAAGAATAATAGAATACTGTGTTAAAAACCTTGCCAATTATTTCAGATAACTAGATAAGTAAAGTAATAGTCATTTGTAATGAATCTTTTGTATTTGAATCTAAGTGTGATTAAAATATGTTTAATTAAAATGCCAGGTAAAATAAACTTGTTTTCAATAAAAGTTGGCTTCCAATGAAGCTGCAGCTTTGAGGCACAATTTCACTTGTGATGTTATACATTTTGATTTTCATAGTGGACAGTATATAACAAGATGACGAATTTAATTAGATTAGACATAGGTTAGTAATAGGGGGAATGGGGAAGGGGCTAAAGGGAAAAACTGGGCAATTTCACATATTGTCACCCATTTTTAACCAAGCTCCTTTTGCTATGGTGAAAGGTGTGAGGTGGGTTTATGGCACCTTAAAACCAGATTGCCCATTTTAGGTGGTTTTCATTGTCACCCATTTCTAAGTTCTAACCAAACTCCTTTTGCTCTTGAAAAGGTGTGAAGGCAAGCAATCTAGTTTTAAGGTGCCAGAAACATGTGCTTGTGTTCAGCTTTTTCAAGGAGCTGTCCTTGTTGGATCATGGTTTACTATTTTTGGTTAATGTGTTTCCTAGGCATGCTGATGAACCAAGGTATACACTGTAGGGCAAAACAGTCTATATAATACTTTATCATATATATGCTGAACATTGGCAGGTACGAAAACTATGTCATTTGCGCATTTGTAGTTTGATAAAATAAAATATCTATACTCCCACGAAAGTTGGACTGTCATCGTGACATTGAATGACGTCATGGCAAATGACGTCATCACGTTTTGCGTCATCGATGACGTCATAGATTTTTGACTAACGTGCGAAAAATCCTAGATCCGCCCCTGTGTTTAAGGGATAGATGTACTGAAATCGCTGATTCAAAACTTATCTTGTCATCGGATCATCTAAAATAGCTTCCATCATATCTACCAATATCAGAATCTGTTGGATAAAAACCTCTTTTACATTGACATTTGTAACTTCCAGGTTCATTGACACACAATTGTGAACATCCTCCGTTATTAACAAGACATTCGTCAATATCAGAACATGATTTCTTGTCTTCACTCAACGTGAAACCTCTATTACACTCACATTGATAACTAGAGGAACGAGAAGGACAAGTAAGATTAGTGATTTAGGTTAATACCAATAATAATCAAAGCTAGTGATCCTGTAGTCACTGATTTGCCAGACTAGACAAACATAAAGAACGCCGGCAGTCAAGTGAAGTATACTGGCATTCTAGAAAGAGGTAGGGATTTCTTTAGATAAATAATGTTGCACCACCATAAATATACAAAATTTCCTTTTAAATGCCAAGAGAAGAGATGTACAGCCAGGGGCGTAATTCCTGGCGCGCGTGTGTGTGTGTGTGTATGCGTGTGTGTGTGTGTATGCGTGTGTGTGTGTATGTGTGTGTGTGTGTGTGTGTGTGTGTGTGTGTGTGTGTGTGTGTGTGTGTGTGTGTGGGGGGGGGGGGGGGGG